GACTGAAAGAGGAAATGAGATCTTCAATAATAAACGACAGAGCAGTAGTTTGAGAAACTGTTTTTATTCAGAGCTTTGTGTTGTGATGTCTGGTAAGCACAAATGACTTCACTGAACCACACGTTTGGAGAGCAACAGTACTGACATGCACAGCACCAAGAAAACATCACATAAAGAAATGAACTAAAGAGAGATCAGAACAGTCTGAACCTGTGAAGTTCAGGTTGATATGTAAGGAAAGAAATGCTCTGGCTGACATTTCATTGATACAGAATCAGACAAAGTAGAGTCTAAATCAGATTTCATTTAGGAACAAAAGGCATCGTTTGTGAATGTGCAGACTGCTGATGTTGCTCTTTGTTAAAGGGGTCAAACTCAGAACATTCCCTTCTTGTAGCGATGGATCAACTCTGACACGTCCTCCTTACACACCTTTATCCAGCCGTCCTCCTGCATGTGGTACACTACACAAACACACAGATACACACAGTTAGAACACATATTGACATAAATGCAGCAGATCTCAAACTTTTCTGTTATATGACATTTCTTTTTGGGGGTCTTGAGCTGCATGTGTGAACGCTAACAGCTGAATTTTTCACTTCAGTTTTACCTGAAATTTTTCCTCTCAACCCCTTAGTAAAATTTTAATGTGAAGTCCCGGTGAGCAGATGTGAGAACGCAGTAGGAAATATTCAGGAAAATTCCCTGCAAGTGACCGGGAGGGGTTGGTGATATTTATCCTGCAACTGGTGCATGACCATAGACTGTCTGAACAAAACCAGTGCAATCTCTGTGCACGTAATGAAACCGCTTCACTTTGTTTTATGATTTGATCTTTTTTTTTTTTTAGATTTATTTCTTGGCTTTTTGTGCCTTTATTGGAGAGATAGGACAGTGGATAGAGTCTGAAATCATAGAGAGAGAGAGAGAGAGAGAGAGAGAGAGAGAGAGAGAGAGAGAGAGAGAGAGGGGAATGGCATGCAGGAAGAGAGCCACAGGTCAGATTTAAACCTGCAGCCTGCATGGAGGACTATGGCCTCCACACACTAACCACTGCACCACCAGCGCTCCCTGTATTGATCTTTTTATGTCATGCCTTGCCTCCAGAGACCTTGTCCTGTGTGATAACATGAATGAGCAGGATTTATCCTCTGGGAACAATGAAAGGACGTACAAAATGTCATGGCGCTTAACTAAATCGTAGACCAAAAACTAATGAAATCTGATTTCTGATGAACAGTTTGTGCCTGAAACGTCACGCGGTGATGAACTTCATTGAATGTGATTTGGAGCAGCTTCTGGAGAGCAGACTCTGTCTTTATTTTTTTAATTATATTTCTGTCCAACACCCGGTACTTAACAATCTGCAACAGGATATACGTCCATGTTTAACCTCAAACACAGTGAAGGAGCATTCCCAGGCGTACTCACTGTTGACCACCCCTCCAGAGTAAGCATCCCTGTGTGTAGCGTGAACGATGCCCCGACGGCCCAGCTCATACGCCTCCTCCACCGTCATGTCTTCTCGGTAACCGCTGTCCACCACGCCGTAGGCGAAAGAGCTGCCACAGCCGGTAGAGAACATTCGTCCAGACAGACGCGTCCCATTATCGTCCACGTAGTACAGACCAGGACCCTGAATAAAACACATCATAATGTGATATACACAGCACACTTTCTGATAATACAAACACAGTTCATCACATAAAGCTGTAACGATAGTGCTCCATCACAGTGGATGTCTGCACTTTACATCTTTTTGTTTTACATTATTCTATACCTGATATTTATCTTGTACTTTAAAGAATGAATTTTGACAAACAATCTGGCTCTTGGTTTCAAAACCTTTTTCCACCTGTTACCCATCATGTTGATACTAGATTTTCAATGTATGGGGGTTGGAGAGGCTGGGAGAACAGTCTGTCATTTTGGCATATTTTTCTTACCCAATACTGTTCTTGTTTGTATGTTTTTTTAAGTTAATTTTTGGTCTTTGTATGCCTCCATCCTAGAGACAGGACAGTGGACCGAGCCAAATATCTGGGAGAAGGAGAGTAGGGAACGACATGCGGGAAAGGAGACACAGGTGGGACCCAAACCAGGGCCGCCCTCCGGGGGACCATGTCTCCGCAAGTGAGTTTAAATAAGAGGTGCTAACACATACAAACACACGTCCACCACAGCTTACCTCTTTATCCCATCCACAGATCATGCTTCCCATAGAGAGACCCATGCCTCTGTAACCCAGCATCATGTTAGACAGCAGCTTGGAGGCCGCAGCCACAGAGATCCTGTGGTTGTTTCTCAGTCTGTACAGCCTGGAGGAAATCATAGCACAACAAGGAGAGCAATTATTTCATATATCAATCAATCAACTAATAATTCAGTCTACAAATTGTCATGGCAGCGAAAACAGAGAAACAAATCCCTCATCATAGTCGTCCAAGATAAATAAGAACACAGATGGATTGCATTTTATTTAATGAAAGTCTTCTATACATGTTTTCTGTTATTCAGTTCAGCTATAAGGTGTGCAAAAATAAAAAGAAAGTTTCTTACAGGAGCTTTAAATGACAGAAAGTACTGAGACACAGTGGGACCAGTATTCACCTGCACTCTTTGGCCAGGAGTCTCTCCCAGTACTGGCAGTCTGCAGCGCTGCCCGACATGGTGCCCAGCAGGTAGGGGTTGATCTCTATGACCTTGTTGACATCGTTGGATGCTGCAGAGCCGCAACAGGTTTGGAAAAGGAGACATTCAGTGACCAAGATTACAGGATAAGAATGTGAACACAAAGAAGTACCTCAGAGTGGAGGCACCATGATTTAATAAACATTTAAAGCACCAGACAAACATGGTGAGCAAGAGAGAGGACGAGACAGAGGCATGCTGGTGTGTGTATAAAGAGAGGAGAGGTGTGTGTTTGTGGAGTGGAGTATGGTGGGCAGATTTTAGGTTTTGTTTTGAGGAAGCACAAAATGAAGTTGGCCTGGATAATAAAGTGAGATAAGCATTGTGTTATACATTCTTTCAAACATTTGGCACATGTAGGAAATCACAATATTTATATCTCCAGCTGCAACAAATATTAAACTTTAAGGCTTTTTATTTCAGGTTAAAGTCAGTTTTTTTTAGGGGGGGCATCTTTTGTTTAATCAGTCACAAATTTAAATCTAAGCTTGTGTAGTTAAGGGCACAAAGCTGGAGATGGGGTGCAGACAGAGGGCCCCACTTTCACCCGGGGCAGCCCTGGACATGAAACACATCTTCCTTTCTTTTATTCTTTTCCAGTCATGTGTATTTACCTAAGTAACGACCAGCTGAGGCTCTGGAGTCCACAGCGACGATGACTCCATGTCTGAACTTGAAGGCCAAGGTGGTGGTACCGTGGTTCAGTTCTATACACACCCCTCCCTCACGGTTGCAGGACTTGAGAAACCCTGAGGGCTACAACGAAACCAAAGAAGAGACTCGTTTTGAAAGAGAACACGAGAGCAGAATATCTATCATAAGATCATATTCTTAGACAACAACTCGTCGTAGTTAGGTTTAATGCTTATGAAATGTAATAAGAAGCTAAACGCACCAAACACTGAAAACCACAGACGCGTAAAACAGCATCACCCACTGCGCGTGACGCTTCATCAATGTAGCAGGTTTACCGGAAAACAATCACGGGATTCATCTCTTACCATAAGTAACTGACTGATACTCACATCTACACCCAAAGGAACCGCAAACTCCTGAGTTTTAGCCCCGAAGTTGTAGTGGTTGGTTCTGTCGACGAGGTGCGTCTGTCCTCCAGGAAGAATCTGTCTCCTGAGCTCAGAATGAGGCTTAAAACCACTTACATCGAACAGAGCCATCGTGCATCACAGCTTATAAACTTTATATTAAAGTGTATTCTGGATTTTAGAGGTTAGTTTGTGTAATGTGACGAAGGTGAGCGACGGACAGTCACGGATTATTTCCTCGTTCGGAACAAAGAATTCGAAAGTGAAAGGGTTTTCAAAGTAGTTCACTGTAGTTCAGTCCTCGTGATTACTGTTCAACATCAGTCAGTGCAAACAAAACGCACGAATGACTTTTGACAAAACTTGTTTTGCACTGAAAATACTTTATATTTTTGAAATTAGAAACAGTAGAACTCAAAACTCCGCATTAATCTGCTTCATTAAAAAAAACAAAATAGACCAATTGGATGGCTTTATGGTTATGTCGTCATCAGTCTCTATAATGAAGTGCAACAGACAGGTTTCAGTTGCATCAGCCTCACCTCACCTGAGTTTGAATCTAAGTTTAAACAATCAATTAAACACAAACAGTGAAACATTTTAATGAGAGTTTCATGGAGGAATCATCCGTTGAACTCTCCGTTTGTTCCAAATAAACATTCATGTAAAGTTTGTGCCAACTATGTATTTTATTTTTTTGTAAAGTCATGTTATAAGTTTCATTGTATACATTACATTTGAGCTCTTGTCTGCAGGGTTTGTACATTAACACATTTTTCAATTAAGTAAAAAAACAAACCAGTAATGTTTGGATAATCCAGCAGAGGTCATTTATATTTAGAACTTGCACATTTCATATCATAAAATGTAACTCTGTCTAATGCAGTTCAGTCAGTGAAATGTTAAAGATGAACCTTTATGAACACATAACATCCTGGAAACCTTATTTAGTGTCTTTGTCTTGTCTTTGGTGCAGGGAAAAGACTGAGTCTATGAAGAGTCACACATTATGAGGGCGCCTGTGACTTAGTGGTAAGTTGGAGCGCCCCATGTGCAGAGGCTGTGGAACTGGAAGTGGGCAGTCCCGGTTTGAATCCGGACTGTGGCTCCTTTTCCTGCATGTCATTCCCCACTATCTCTCTCTGTGATTTCCGCCTCTATCCACTGTCCTGTCTCTACAATAAAGGCATAAACAGACCTGATATAAATCTAAAAAGAGAGTTACACGTCATTAAAAGAATTGAAGAAAAGGGGTTTGCCAGATTTTTTTTAACAGGTTTTTATTATCAATCAAGAATTGTGAAAACATGTCATAATCTCATACAGCAGTCTCCCGGCTTACTGTTACTGTACTCCACATCACAGTTAAACAGAATTAGAGTCTAAGCCTTGATGATAAAATGTCTGAGATGTATTACTATTTGTACTGAATATAGTGAAAAAATGACTGTCATAAAATGAAGACTGGTCCTTTGCAGCTAAATGTTAAGATGAGATTGTTGAGTCACTTTGCGTCAGGCTGTGTCCATCTGCTGCACCGTCTCCTGCACCACCTCCAGCTTCAGGGGGACTACCTTCTCTGTTAGGACCGGTGTTGTTCCAGGGCGGTATTTGTATTTCATTTTCCTGTTAGATAGACAAAAACACAGTTATACAAAAACAGAAACAATCAAACTCAAAAAAATGGCACCACTTTGAAATTCTATCTTGACTCTGTCCAGATATCTTAAAAAAGGTCTCACTCATTCTGGCCTACCTGTTGTCTCTGTACTCTGACTCCAGATAGGGTCGGATGTAGTCCACTCCTTCTTTGGTGATCACACAGATGTCGATGTTGTTGCCTGACCCGAGGTCACTCATGATTCCAGCGTGGATGGCAACACGCACGAGCTCCTTCGCCTTCTCCAGCTTAGAGAGATGACAAAAAATCAGAGAAACAATGAAAAGACGGAGAAATAGAAAACATTCTGGCTTTTTATCAAACAGGGATGGGCAACTTAGGCTACCATGAGGGCCACATATCATTGTATTGTCACTGCCAAATTGTTAGAATGAAAGAATACTCTCGATCAGACCATCAAAGAGTCTTAAAATGTAACGAAAGGAGCTAAAATAGCTTTCATCAGAATGTATTATATCAACATTAATATTTTTAAACTCAAGTGAAATACTAATGCTTACTTTAAAAGTTACATAAAGCTGAGTGTAAGCTGCTTTTTAATGCAATGAAGAGTATTTACCAGTTATTAAAGTATAGTTCACTCACATTTCTATCTTTTTAATGTGTTTTTAGTAATGCTTCATAAAAGAGTTTTACTGAAACACTTAAAGCCTTTTCAAATTTCTCACAAGAACAAGAACACACATATCAGTAATCAAAGATTATTGTAGAGATATCTCTACTTTTCATAAATGCATTTGGAGTGCATGCTTAAGAGTTTTTTATTAGTAACTCCAGTTGAAATCCTTCATTGCAGATTTTGTCATGTCTGTTTACAGATTATTGATATTTAAAATTTGCTCACAGGCCGCATTAAGAAAGGAGGGAGGCCGCATGTGGCCCCTGGACCTCAAGTTGCCCACCCTTGATCTAGCGGCTTCTTTGGCCTACAGTCTCACTACTCTGCAGGTTCTGAATTAAAGATGCCCAGAGTAAGCCATGATAGTTAAAGTAAGTTACAGTCACAACACTTATGTATCAAAAGTTGTCCAGGTGGCATACCTCCAGGTCGGGTCTGAACCCGTCCTCTAGAATCCCAAGAGCCGCCAGATCTCCAGATCCTGCAGTGATAAAAGACAGACTGTCAGTCATTGATGTCATCTCAGTGATGTCACCCATCACTATTTATTTATTATTATTCTTCTATGTAAATATTTTTTTCTAACCTGTTGCTCTTTGTGTTTTATTCTTTTTCTTCTTCCACTGAGAGAAGCAACAACATTCTGTTGTACAGCTGTGCATTGACAATTAACTATTCTTTTTCTACCTGTTGGTTTCTGAAGCTCAACGATAGCGGTCGCCATATTGGAAATGCTGTCTCAAACTAGCCATCAGTTAACCTAGTAACAGACAGAGGTGGAGTTGAGACGGACTTCAAGCCTCCTGACAAACAGCTACAAGGCACCTGCTTGCTGATATATCAGACGCCTCATTGTGCATAACTCTTGTCCTTCATAAAACCAAGACGGATGAGTTATATAAAAACATGTGTGCCAATAAAGACACGAGCTACTCAATCCAAAAGGCTGTAAAAATGTTTATTTCTGCAGTAAAATGAGCATTTAATATGGGTGTGTGTGTGTGTGTGACTTCTGGTGTTTTAGAGAAAGCCTCAAGTGGACACTCGAGGAACTGCAGGTTTTTAACTCTCGAGTGTGCCTCTTGATATAAGATAAAAGTCTTGACACATGATCATTTTTATTGGTAAGTTATGAATGACTAAATCATTATGTCACTCAAATAAAAGAGAGCATGTCTTGATTTAATTTGGTATAACAGTTAAGAGAAAAGAGCTTGACAGAAAGTCGAGAATCCAAGAGAGGTACGTCAAAGAGTAATGTACACATAATTATTCACATACCCATTGTAAGGTAAGGCACCTTATTTACACTCCCATAAGGCCCCACTGAGTACAGGTGGTTCCCAGTGCAATCTACTCCTCCCAGTATAAGATTGGCCCCGATTTGACCGTGATACCTGAGGGCAGAGACATGAAATCACAGGATTAATAACAGTAAGAATTGAGCCTTTAAATCCTTCACACACCAGTATATCCAGGTACATGTGTGGTTGAAACAAACCTGTAAAGCATATCCTGCAGTATGTTGACACCCATGACGACACGAGGGTTCCTCCCGCTGTTCAGAGAGAAGATGGCGAGGTTGGAGGAGAGCAGCTCCGTGGTCTTCTCTGTATCTGCTGCCGTACCCGCTCCACAACAACTATGGAGAGATCAAACTGTTGATGCACATTTTCATAGAGTTATTCTGCATTTTAAAGACTAAATTGGAGGTGTGATGTTTGTGGTTTTACCCTGACGAGTAGCATTGTGGTTTTATCCTAGAAGTATTTAAAGCTGTTGTTTTTTTCACAAACATTTGGAACAGTTTTTGGGACCCCCCTGTTCTGAGTGAGTTACCTTTTTGTTGTGTTTGTACCCGTTTATATGTGTGATGATGTTGATGCTGAAACAAATTAAAGCAGAGTGCTAAAGAAGTTCTTGGGCTGTTGTGGTTATTTTGAGTTCTCCCACTATCACAGAAGAAAATATGACAAATTCAGATTTTAATGAGCAACGTGATGCGTTAGCTCTGCCTGCAGTTCTGTTATTAGTTACTCGACATGAGGTAACTTGTTGCCTGCTGACAGAAGTTGTTATATTTCCATTTCCTTTGTCAAAACAAAAAAGAAAACTTTTAGCATCTGCCCTGTTTCTTCTTCTCTCCTACTTCTGGGCAGGTGGCCAAAGGTAAACCTACAGGTGTGTTAGTGTGCATGCATAGCTAGCTAATTCAACAAGCAAGATGGCGGAGAGGACAGAATTTACTTAGTGGAAATATCCCCTTTATGTTGAATTTCTAGACGAGGAGGACAAAAACAACATCATGGTGAAATGTAAGAGCCTGTGCTTCACCGTTTCCATTGAGACAGCTGTCTCTGTGCAGTCTCTGTTAGGTTGTCGGCACAATAGGGAACAGTAAATGTTACACACTGTCTTTTATTCCTGTTCTTAGGCTGCAGCGTTACAGATTAAGGGCTGAAAATAAACACAATGAAGGTAGAGTCACAGTGGGCTATGTGCTGTCTGGACCATTTAACCGGCATGTGTAACGAGTCAAATGGGTTTACATTTTTGGAAATGTACTTTTCTCTAATCAACAGGGTTTTAGATCAAACAGGGTGCGGACATATTTGATTTTTCTCTACTGGATAGATTGTAGTTTGGAGGAAGCTACCATAGGACTGTTCACTTTCTCTCTTTAATTGTTCTCTGTAGTTTTTGTAATAAATCAAAGAAGCAGTTTACGGTTAAATGTGCACCAGGAAGAAAATGACGTGTCACCAGACATGGTGGCCTGATAACTGTGAGCATATCTTGAGTTAAATTTCTCACTGATGGCTTCAGTGTGCCTGAGACTTACTATATATTTGGAGCGATGTAATGGATCTTGGCGCACTGCTTGTCAGCCACAACTTCGCTGGATGTCGCTCTGGTGTCTGCTCCCAGCACCACCCCATCCTGCACCAACACACAAGAGTCAGGTTTACCTCTCAGATTATATTCATCTGCTGGACATGTACATGTAATTATATGAATCTCAGACCGTTAACAGTTTTTAATATATTATATGATGAATACATGAAATGATGCGTTCAATTATTACACTTACACATCATCCATGTTGGATTGAATGCTTCATAAAACAAACAAAATGACTGCACCACTGTTTCTCTGATGCCATTAACCACAACTGTAGACATTTTACATGACTGCTTTTCAGAGCAAACTGAGCCATGTGTTGAACAGATATAAGCAGTGGTGTAGTGGTGCCGTGGTGCCGCTCCATCCTGTTGTACAGAGTGACATCCTTGAGAATATTTAGTTAGTGTGTATGAGCCGATAAGAGACAGAGGAGGTAAAGTCATCCCTTCACCATCCTAGGAAAAGAAATAGTAAGCAATCACTGGTGTGAATCAGAGGGGATTTAGAAGTTTGTATATCCTATGGAGACTGAAAAATAAGAGTGTACCTGTCTATACTCTGCATTACACCACTGGCTATAAGGTTAAGCATGGAATGAACTGCCAGGCTTTCTAACATACATCATGACTCAGTGTAAACATTGATATCATGAATGCCCGGGATAAAACTATTTTTTCTGGCAATGCAGATATAAATCCAAACTTTATCTGCTGTGTTATCTGATCAAACTTTTGAAATGTATAGCAATATAATGCTTTATGTGTTTGAACGACTGATATAATTAAAAAAGTAATGACTATAATTCAGTTTATAGTGTATAAACTAAGATATAGAAAATCCCAGTTTGGTCTGTGTGTTTGTTCAGTTCAGACTTGCCTTGAACACCACTCCTGCTATCGTTGTGCCTGTTTTCAAAGGTTTAGGAGTCTGTCCACCTCCAAAAAGACCCTCTAATGCAGAATTCCTACAGAGAGAGGGGAGGTAACGGAGGAGAGGGGATTACACATCATTTTATGTCTTGGAGAAATATACATGAGCACATCCTTACTATTGTTTAATGGATTCAACTTAAAAACAATAAGGAAAAAGTTACTTTCACTTTTGATCTCTTTGTAAACTCAACGTTAACAGAAGCTTTGTTCGACCTGTCTGTGATTATTAATCATTTCTGCTGCTAAGAGAACACAAACAGAAGCTCATACCTCGCTGCGTTGTCGAAATTAAAGCCGGATGCAGGGGTTTCGAGGACATTTGATAGCGCCATACTGGACGTGTGTGTGTGAGCAGCTTCTCTGTGCGTCTGGGTGCGCCTGAGGTCGCTGTTCTTCGCGTCACCTCTCCCTTTTCTCTTTCGATTTTGCAGTGAAAATGGAGAAACACTACACGGACTCGCAAGTCAAAGGAGTCAGCACAGGGGTGAGTAAATCAGTACTATTAAACCATTAACTGAATCCAACGCTTTTTACGCGTTAAACGATCGATCAAGGTTCCTGGCAAAACAGGTGATGCTTTACCTGAACCGTCACGTTACCACAAAGGGAAATGACATTGTCTGGACACCTCACGTGCTTTCTTGTCAGTGAGTTGTTTGTCTGTTGGCTCTGAATGACTTTATTCGTCACATATCGACATAAAGTGACTGGCTATCCGTTTGTATCAATGTCAATATCACTCCTAAGATCATCGCTACATAGAACTCTATATCCCAGAATTCATTGCTGGTTTCAGCCAGCATGAATGAACATGAGGCCATGAGAAATAAGTATACATGTGTTTCTTTATGTTTTTGTTTTTGTCTGAATAGAGCTCTGTAATATTTGGATGCTGGTGAAATAAACATAACAGTCTCCCCCCCCCTCCCCCTCCCCTCCCTCTCCCCACACAGACCACCATCCTGGCTGCCACCTTCGATGGAGGGGTCGTGATTGGGTCAGACTCCAGGGCCTCCATGGGAGGGTGAGGATGCTGAGACAGCTCACTGAATTTTGGTTATTTTTTCACAGATGTAATCAGAGACACTTGAACATTCATGGTTAAAGTAAACTCCACAGATATAATACGATATACACAATCACAACCGTCGAAATGTGAACAAATAGTTCAAAATGTAAAGTTTGCATATGTAAGTTTTGTGAACGTTTTCACAATGCACCTTCCAGAATAGAACCTGTGATTTTAGAAATAAGGTATCATTCAATACTGTGTTTTTTTTGCTTTTTTTTTAGATGTATTTTTGGGCTTTTTGTGTCTTTAATGGAGAGATAGGACAGTGGATAGAGTCAGAAATCAGGGAGAGAGAGAGAGAGCGGGGAATGACATGCAGGAAGGGAGCCACAGGCCAGACTTGAACCCGGGCCGCCTGCTTGGTACTTGGGGCACGCGCACTTACCACTGCCCCACCAGCGCCCCTCAATACTATGTTTTAAGCAATATTGCACCATCATAATATTCAGGTCCAGTAAAAGTATAGTTTTTTTTTAATTCAAACTCCCTCCAGTTTTCATGCAGAATATTTTTCTTTGAAGTTTAGTGATGTACATAAATGTGTAGTGCAGTATTTACATACACATTTATTCTACCTGTACTATACTTTACAATATTGCACCATCATAATATTCAGGTCCAGTAAAAGTATAGTTTTTTTTTAATTCAAACTCCCTCCAGTTTTCATGCAGAATATTTTTCTTTGAAGTTTAGTGATGTACATAAATGTGTAGTGCAGTATTTACATACACATTTATTCTACCTGTACTATACTTTAACTAACGAGGACCACACCATCAGCAGGATGCAATGTGACAGTTACTCATTGATTTTATAAGAAATCTGATTCTCAATTAGGTGAGGTTAAACTTCTTGCTGCCATAGATTTGGGGAAGCTTATTAGGGTACCAACTGTAACCCCCTCAGGGCCCCACGTATAGGAGGACAGATAGAAATGGAGGGTAAGGGGGGGAGGGGTGCGAAATGTGAGAAATAAAAGGGTTGAGAGGGTTGTGTTTTAATTCATGTGAACTTTGGAGAGGTGTGTTTGAGTTGTTGTCCTCAGTAAAATGAGACTTACACATTGATACATCAAGATTAATTATACGATGTCACATTTTCACACTCAGTGGGGCCGTTAATCTGCATCGGGTATTTTTACACTTTAATGCATATCATTGCATTTGATGTAAGGACTCTTTAATATATTTTACTCTTTTTTTAAGTGTGATACTGAAGGATCTCCATAGCTCATCCACCCTGTGTTTATAGCTTTAACTGTTTTCAATAATTAAATTCAATCTCTGATACTCTCATCTCATCTATAATGTCAGTGTTGTCTTTAGGTTTTTCCTCATTGTTTCTTTGCTTAACCTTTCTTTGTCTCTTTCTTTAGGGAATATGTTTCATCAAAGACCATCAACAAGGTGATCCAGGTTCATGAGCAGATCTTCTGCTGCATGGCCGGCTCTCTCGCTGATGCACAGGCCGTCATCAAGGCTGCAAAATTTCATCTGTCCTTCCACAGGTGACACACATATGAATACATTAGTGTATCTTATACAGGTATGCACACAGAAAACACGTTTACCTCACATTTCATATATAGATAATGTTGGACTAAACCCACATTGAGTTGCATTCCTTCATGAATTCTTGTCAAGAGCAGAGTTTTACACGTACAGTAAACACAAATGTTACACAGATTTCTACTCTATACATCTTAATTGGAGAATCAAATACAACCCATGATTAAATCAGTTTATTCTTCTTTTTTAAGATTTATTTTGGGGCTTTTTATGTCTTAATTACAGAGATAGGACAGTAAGGAATGACATGTAGCAAACAAGCCACTGGTTGAATTCGCTTTCTGCTTTGAGGTCTGAAGCCTCTGTACATGGGGAACACAAACTAACCACTAAAGGCCACTGGCGCCCCGGTCCCTTCTACTTTTAAAAGCATACACTGTAAACTTGAATCTCCCTTTTCTCTCTTGGTCTCCCTCTCATCCCTAGTGTCCAGATGGAGACCCCTCCTCTTGTGATATCAGCGGCATCAGTGCTGAAAGAGCTGTGTTACAAAAACAAAGATGAGCTTCAGGCCGGCTTCATCACCGCAGGCTGGGACAAGAAGAAAGGTGCACAGGTATGTAGAGGCTGTGAGGACAGTCGAACAGAGAAGCAGTGATGAAACCTGTATGTGTTCAGTCCACCTTTCTGCATAAAGCTCCATCACAGATGTTCTCCATCCTTCTCCAGGTGTACGTCGTGTCTCTTGGTGGGATGTTGGTCAGGCAGCCGGTTACTATCGGTGGCTCAGGCAGCACATACATCTACGGCTACGTTGACGCCAAATACAGACCAGACATGAGCAGAGAGGAATGTCTACAGTTTGCCACTAATGGTACTTTTGTAAAACTTTACTTTTGAAAACAAACTTGAGTGAGATTGTACATAATTATCAGGAAGTAATAGGAGCATTGTTCATTGGAAATCTGTAGAAAAGCATGCTGGATTAGGCTGATAACAGTAACCCGTGAACATTTGTAACTCATGGCTAATACCTATAAAATAATTATCTGATGTATCATCTCACATTTTTATATTTTATAATGTTTATTAAAAGTTATTCATGCACAGCAGGATCACATGTCATTGTATGCACAGGAATCATTTACCTGCTGTAGATCACCTTCGATGTCTTGATTCCAAAGTATGCACACGAGAGCTCTGAGTGGGAGAGTGAAGGAAAACGAGATCAGTTGATTAAAGTTTTTTTTGCTCGTTTCTTGGCGACTTATCTGCTTCCATAATCTAAGTCAAACATTAACAACATCACAAAGAGCGCTTCAAACCCTTTTAGGTAATTTACCTATGACCTAAAGCAATATACATAATCACATGGAATGGAATATATTAACAATATATTTACAAAATGTGCAGTGTTAAACAGTGGAGATAATGCACAGAGTATTGCACATTAGGCTCACTGAAGACGATGCCATTTCTATGTTACTACATTATTGCACACATGTTTTTTTAAAAATTGTTGACAGGTTTAGAATCAGATTGCACAGTTGAAAATAAACATCATACAATGTTTACGTTTACAACTTTAGAGGGTGAAATAAGTCCAAGGCTAGACTGTAAATGTTTGCTTGGTTTATAAAGGGTAGACATTAAATAACAGTTGAGCTTGTACATTTTGGATTTTTCTCAGTTAACATTTTCTCATTTGTCCTCAGTTTATATCACTGAAAAAACAATTGTTTGCACACAGATGAAACTCAATTGAATTAAAGTTTGTCTCTGTAGTTGTAGATATGATCTGTGTTAGAGGTTTAAAAAATTGCCTAACTGTGCTTGTGCCTTTTTTCCTCCTCTTCTTCATCCCTCCTCCCCCGTGCTCTCAGCTCTTGCTCTGGCCATGGGCAGAGACAACGTCAGTGGAGGCGTGGCTAACCTGGTGGTGATCACGGAAACAGGGGTGGAGCATGTGGTGGTACCTGGTGACAAGCTGCCCAGGTTCCATGATGAATGACACCTTGTATATCAAATCAAATGTATTTTTGCATTATGAAGTAATTGCATTCAACGTTGCATACAGTGTTTTTAATAGTTTTGCTGTGAAAACACATGACAAAAAATGTAGTTGCATAACAACTGGAAACTTTTTAATGAGAAACCTGTGGTCTAAAAAAACGTTTGAGTCTGAGATATTATGGTAACATGCAGGTTTGTTGAATAAATTTAAAGAATCAGAATCATTCCTTAATTTAAAATAATTTCTAGATAAACAGCTCCTTAAGTGTCCAATCACTTGTTTTGTAAAGTTTTTTTTCATTCATACAAATTTGTGAAAATAAAAATCAATATAAACCAAAACCTGTATGTTTTTTCTTCTTGTCTCTCTCTGTTGTTTGTGCTTCAACACATCTTTAATGAGTCAGGAGTCTTTTAAATCTCATCTTGTTGCTGTTGTCTCATAGCCTTCATCATTTTAAGTAATACCAGTGCATATATTGATTGTAGTAAATATTATCCCTTCACAACGTCTTAAGCACACTGAGTTTATAGAAAGTGCGCACATGTGGGGAAAGTTCATCGTTTGACACACAAGCTGAGACTGATTCACGGCTCATTGCAGAGGTGGACATTTCTACTTTCAATTTCGTTTATACTCAGGAAAACATGGCGTCGTTCTGATGTTTGAATTAGTAAACCAAACCCGTCAAAAGCAGTGTATTTAGATTCATAATTTAGTTGTTCTTCAGCAGGAAGGCGTTTTAAAATCGGAAACGTTCGACGTAACGTTCAGGTTTACGTCTGGTGTCACTTTTTACGACCCCCCGACAGACAAACACGGTCGTTGTCGTTTGTTACAGAGTTTACTGTATCAGCATGTTGGAAGAAACGGGACCTGAGTGGTTATCTGAGGAGGTGAAAACTGGAGTAAGTATACATTTTAATGTCTTTTATCGCATAAAACTCTGTGTCTAACCACTGTGCCACATTAGGAAATTGCTAGTGTGTTAAATGAATCATAATTGTTCTGTGTTTGCAGACTACCATCATAGCCATTGAATATGATGGAGGGGTCGTGCTGGGGTCTGATTCCCGAGTGTCTGCAGGGTACGTAAAGTTCTGCGTGCGTATTTGCGTGCGTAGTGCGTCAAGTAGGCCACAGCTCTGCTGCACAATATTTATATGAAGGCACCATTCACTCTTATGCTTCTAAAGCAGTCTCTACTTTGTATTCTCAATCTCTCCTAACACAGTCTGCCCTTCCTGTCTTACATCCCTCTATATCAGCTTTTATACCACACAGTCACACTTCCTCTCTTTTTCTCCTTCCAGGGAATCAGTGGTGAACAGAGTGATGAACAAACTGTCTCCTCTCCATGATAAGATCTACTGTGCTCTGTCAGGCTCTGCAGCGGACGCTCAGACCATAGCCGAGATGGTCAACTACCAGCTCGATGTTCACGGGTAAAAACACATTCACAGTACATTCAATTCTTTTTTGCCTTAGATGAAATATAACAGAACAGCGTCAGTATCTTCATTATAACACTGACTCTAAGACAGCACACTTTTATATTCTGTTTTGCTAAATGTGCTCGTTCTGAAACAGACTAAAGTTTAAATGATGCCTGTTTAGAAGCTACAAGAGCAAACAAGCCCATGTGCATGAAGACTGATTATTACAGTTATTCTAGATGTCTATAACTGCTGCCTGCCACAGGGTCTGCCTCAAGTCAAATTAGGGGGCACGCTGCAGAAACAGCCTTGTTTGTAATATTCACTGTTAGTGATACATTTGACAGTTAAATGGCAGCAGGGTGAGGTTTTTATGTTGAAAAATAAATCTTATTTAGAGGTATAGAGGTCAAACTCCACAAAGAGAAAAACCCCATTGTCCACAGGGACCCCCACTTTCTCACAGTACATTATGTTATGGATTAGATCTGTGGTTCTCAACTGGTCTAGCCTCAGAACCCATTATCAGCAACTTCATGAAAATTCACGACCCAAATTTCTGATATTTTACAACATCAGATTTATATAATGATAAATTGTGCAGTTTTGACCTCAGACAGTAAAAAAACAAGTGACAGAATAAAGAGAAGAAACAAAGCAAAGTAGATTAAAAAGTGCTTCAGAGACTCAAATTTTTAGACAGGAACACACGAACCGACTGAAGATGGGCCCGCGCCCACTTTTAGGGCCCAACCCAACTGTTGAGAACCACTGGCTTAGATAATAGTTGCCATCATAGCTTTAGCTGCTCTGCAGTTGTTCTCATCCTGTCAGATGTAAATGAACATATCTCTGAGTACATGTGGAACATGATCTAACACTGAGTGAGATATTTTGGCAAAGAAAGTTTTTGATATCAAACTCATCAAGTGGCCGCTCAAATCAAAAGATGTCAGTGCTGATTGACCTTAGTCTAAAGACAGATTTAGATTTTCTCTCTTAAAAAAAGAGTCTTTTAAAAACTGAATCTGACTGAACCAAAAGTTGTAGCAATGACGGTAAGATGCTTCAAATATGGATGTTTCCGCAAATTCTTAAAATTGACACACATCTTTAACTCCTGTAGAGAATATCTATAAGACCACTAAAGTCTTTATGTTAAGTGTCACCAACGCAGTAACTGTCTAAATGTGAATTATGGTCACAATCTCCCTTTTGTTTCTTTGTTAGAGCACTACACATATGGAGGACCAGATCTGACAGAAGTATAAATAAATAAATAAATAAATGTATACATAAATACTGGAATAAATAAATAAAATAATTAATAAATAATTAAATAATTAAATGCGTGAATAAATAAATAAAAACTGGTAAATAAATGGGACATAAATAATTAAATGTCTTAAATTTATTTCTACATTTATTTTCCACATTTATTTATTTCTACATTTATTTATTTCTACATTTATTTATTTCCACATTTATTTATTTCCACATTTATTTATTTCTACATTTATTTATTTCTACATTCATTTATTTCCACATTTATTTATTTCCACATTTATTTATTTCTACATTTATTTATTTCCACATTTATTTATTTCTACATTTATTTATTTCCACACTTATTTATTTCCACATTTATTTATTTCTACATTTATTTATTTCCACATTTATTTATTTCCACATTTATTTCTACATTTATTTATTTCCACATTTATTTATTTCTACATTTATTTATTTCCACATTCATTTATTTCCACATTTATTTATTTCCACATTTATTTATTTCCACATTTATTTCTACATTTATTTATTTCCACATTTATTTATTTCTACATTTATTTATTTCTACATTATTTATTTCCACATTTATTTATTTCTACATTTATTTATTTCTACATTTATTTATTTCTACATTTATTTATTTCTACATTCATTTATTTCCACATTTATTTATTTCCACATTTATTTATTTCCACATTCATTTATTTCCACATTCATTTATTTCCACATTTATTTATTTCTACATTTATTTATTTCCACATTTATTTCTACATTTATTTATTTCTACATTTATTTATTTCCACACTTATTTATTTCTACATTTATTTATTTCTACATTTATTTATTTCCACATTTATTTATTTCTACATTTATTTATTTCTACATTTATTTATTTCCACATTTATTTATTTCTACATTTATTTATTTCCACATTTACTCATTTCTACATTTACTCATTTCTACATTTATTTATTTCTACATTTATTTATTTCCACATTTACTCATTTCTACATTTATTTATTTCCACATTTATTTATTTCTACATTTATTTATTTCTACATTCATTTATTTCCACATTTATTTATTTCCACATTTATTTATTTCTACATTTATTTATTTCCACATTTATTTATTTCTACATTTATTTATTTCCACATTTACTCATTTCTACATTTACTCATTTCTACAAAAATATTGATATGATGATATTATGTCAGGGTGAAGTTGACCTTAAATCTAATGAGTTCATTCTTGGGTTCCCTTCACATGAACATGAGAAATTATCTGTTTTTTCATCACTTGCATTCACATTGTGAGGTCATTCCTAAAGTTTAAGTCTTTTTTTTTCTAACACCAGACTCCAACATTTCATCATTATCCTTTGATTCAATCTGAATATAATTTAAAAGCAATGAAACATTTGACTATTTACGAACTCATGAGTTTAATTACTGACATTTACTGGGAAATTATGTTATTGATTGATTATGTTAAGTTAATTTTTTTTTTTTAATATCTTCGTATGATAGTATTGAGATAGGTGAGGACCCACAGGTTCGCTCGGCTGCTACTCTGGTGAGAAACATCTCGTACAAGTACAAGGAGGAGCTGTCGGCACATCTCATCGTGGCCGGCTGGGACAGAAGAGCTGGAGGACAGGTCAGTAAGCACATGTAGGGACAGCTGCAAAAAATGGTTTTATTAAGCAAACCATGTTTCTCCAGCGTCAACTGAGTGACTTCAAGGCTTTTAATAAGTCCCAGGGAGCACTAATCATGATGTCAGTGTTGGAAACTGGGTGAAATTGGGTCACTCCAAGACATATTTACACCCATTTTTCAATCAGCTAAAATATGGTTACAAAATCAACATCAGAAAACACATTTTTGTTGTATAATTTGAATAACTTGTTAATTTTAGGGCTACATGGAGGACCAACATTATGATTGTAGTGGCAATTTGTGACTTGGTCCATACAGAATGATGCATCTCTTTGATTGCCCCTTTGTTCCTCTGACCTTTGACCCTTCCCAGGTTTTTGCAACCCTGAATGGTCTCCTGACACGACAACCGTTTGCAATTGGTGGCTCTGGCAGCTCGTACGTTTATGGGTTTGTGGATGCGGAGTATCGCAAGGGAATGAGCAGAGAGGAGTGCCAGAAGTTTGTTATCAACAGTAAGTTTTAATAGGTTATCTTTAAGTCAGAGTGTTTGTTGAAAGAGACACCAGACATGTGCTGCTTCTTGTACAGCCTGCTTATAGGAGCTATCATCCTCTTCTATCAATACTAAGTTTAAGATATGATATACTAAGTAAATCTCTTCACCTGTCTTTCTCTTGTTGTCTTTGTCTCTCTTGTAGCTCTTTCTTTGGCAATGAACCGGGATGGCTCCAGTGGAGGCGTGGCTTATATTGTCACCATTGATGAACAGAAGGCAGAGGAGAAAGTCATTCTAGGCAATGACTTACCCACCTTCTTTGATCAGTGATGAATAAAGCTGGTTCTCATGCTGTTGGAGGCTATTCATCCAGTTGGCAATTATGTGTTTTGCTTTTTCTCACCATTACATACAAATGTTTTGAGACACCTGATCATTTTCAGGTCCTTTATTAAGAGACTTTAAAATATAAAACATGGAAAGCTTTTAGTGAAATGACTCAGGTCTGCTTTCTCCTGTCTATAGATCACCCAGGGACACTAACATCTATGAAATGTGCTGCAGGATACATTTTTACAAAAGCAACAAAAAGTGAAAGTCAAATGTGTTGCACAACCACAGCATTGTGACATTTTCTGCAACTGACTGTAGTCCTTTTTTAATCCCATTTGTTAGATTAGATTTAGATGACAGGAGGATTGTTGTCATCTTCTTTGTTGAACATAATTAAAGAAACTTTAAATGTTTGTGCACTTCTAATACACTCACCAAGAGACCCACACATGCTTTTGTGTCAGATGTGTGAAATTAAAAAGGAAATAAATTCATTTTGGAACAAATATATTGTTGTTTTCTCTTCTTTCCTTTTTTTTATACAATGAATCATCATGATATAAGCTTTTAATGGAGTTTTTTTCCCAGACACTGACACTGTGTTTTGTTTGTGCAGCTTTCTTTCAGGTTGTAAATACAGTGAAATGGTGATCACGATAACATTTTGAAATGGGCTCTTAAGTTTAACATCTGAGTGTAATAATCCTACTTAAAAGAATTGCTCTCGGTAGTTTGGGATTCAGGGAATCCCCGGGTCTTTCAAGAAAACGAAACTGAAACTGTATGAAAACTTTATCACCAGACTCGCAGCACATCAGGTCATTTGAGGACGAGTGCGCCTGAAAATGGCAGACAATACAGAAACAGCAATCCGCAAAGTCGTTACTGTGTTTTGTGCGCTTTGCGTCGACCTGTCTGTGTTCTACGTGTCGGGGTTTGTAGTGTTTCACAGCGTCTTCGGACAACTTGCGCGTCTCTGGGTTACCGCAGCTGTCCGGTGTTTGGTTCTGACTTCTGTGACTCTGATCAGCTTTGGAGACCCTAAACCATTACTGATTCGTATTGCAGCCGCGCACAGTCTCCTGCCCGCGGTGTTTGAGACCGGGACCAGAGTGCTGTACAACGAGGAGACACAATGCGGCTTGTTGGCGGATATGCGCTGCTGGCTGATGTGCACCGGAGCGTCTTTGGCTGCTGCCCTGTTTTGGGAAATTACCATCCCGGACACCGACGATGCAGCCACCGGTAAAAAGAAGAAACAAAAAGCCAGAGTGCTCTTTTTGAGGGTCCTGTACATGTACAAACCCGACTATCTACTGCTGCTTGGAGGGGTCGTGTTCCTTTCACTGGCTGTTATCTGTAAGTACAACAGATGATACAGATTTTAACAGAAAATATAATTTGTTGAGATGTGGATGAAATTGATACTGCTCATGTATCATTATTATGCATGTGTCATAAACAGACATTTTAGTTTCTTATCTGATATTTATGTGAGGTTTAGGGGAAATAACAGCAGCTTTAGGAAGTTGCTCTTAGAATACAGAGGAGCATATCGTATTGGTGATGATGATGATAGTCTAATGTTTATTTCCCCAGCAGATGTGTCTTCATCTTTGTGTGTGTGTCTCTTCTCAGGTGAGATGTTCATCCCGTTTTACACTGGGAGAGTCATTGACATCCTCAGCAGTCAGTACCAGCCCAGTGAGTTCATATCTGCACTGCTCTGTATGGGCCTGTTCTCTCTGGGAAGGTACAGACAATGTTTTCCTCTCTGCATATATCCTCTAGTTTGTGTGGCATGCATTACATGACAAAACTAACTGAGTTTCTCTTTGATTAGCTCTGTGAGTGCAGGCTGCAGAGGGGGCCTCTTACTTTCTGCCATCAGTGCCTTCACATGCCGGGTGAAAGTGCAGCTTTTTGGGGCTTTGACCAAACAGGAAATTGGATTCTTTGAGACCATAAAGACAGGTAAGGCCAGGTATGCTGTAAGTGCACTCAAAGGACAGAATAAGTCAGGTAAAGACATCATGCAGATAGAACAGGACCTTTACGGAGAGAATAGGATAAGCATACAATAATATAACATTAGAGGACAGAAGATAATTCTTCTTCATATTTTGTGTAGGTGAAATCACATCCAGATTGTCTAAAGACACCAACCTGATGGGCAGAACCGTGTGTCTGAATGTCAACGTGCTGCTGAGGACATTCATCAAGACCCTGGGCATGATCTTTCTGATGATGAATATTTCATGGAAGCTCACATTCCTCGTATTGATGGAGACGCCCATCACAGGCCTCATTCAGAACATCTACGACACACACTACCAGGTAGAGGCTTTACAGTTGAATAAACATGAAGATCCACTGATCCCTTCATTTAAAACAAGTTAGAGGGTTCTTATGTCTTAGAAAGACAATAACAATCTGAGATGTAAACTGCTATAAGATCTTTCTTTGCACACATCTGAACCTTATTACTTCCTGTTAAAACCTTGAAGTCAAATCTTTATCCAAAAGTATTTTAGAATTTTTAACCACCAGGTAAAAAGTATTTTCTTCATCAATCCACTGATTTGCTTTTATTAATCACAACATTTTAAACTTGCGATGAATTTGAAGTTCTGTTTTTCTTCTTTCCTCAGGCTTTGTCTATCGCCATGCAGGACTCAATTGCTCAGGCAAATGAAGCTGCCAACGAGACAGTGTCCGGTATTCACGTTGTACGTAGTTTTAAAGCAGAAAAACACGAGGCCGGTCGCTATGACAACTGCCTGATGGACACACACAAGCTCAAGACCAAACGGGACATTGTCACGGCTGTTTACCTGCTCACACGGCGGGTGAGGTTTTTGTTTTCTTTTGTAAAAAACTTAAAGGTCATGTTTTCTACACAGACGTACAGTACATGTATTTAAAAGTATTTGTTCCTCTATGTGTGTTTACAGTTGACAGGGTTGGGCATGCAGGTCTTCATGTTGTACTACGGCAGGCTGTTTATCAAGAGAGGACAGATGACCACTGGAAACCTGGTTTCCTTCATCCTCTACCAGTCAGACCTTGGAGACAACATCAGGGTATCTCATAATGCTCTGTGAATTTTTGTTAGTCAGAGAAAATGATTTAAAGCACCTTAAAGTGTTAGCGTTTAAGTTGATTTAGAAATAAAAAGGTAACTATGAACAACCAATGTGTTTTTTAATGAATTGTACTCTTGATGCTACTAACATGCAAAGAAGGCTTCTACCAGCCTGTTGCTACACAGCACATACAGTTGATATGAACATCTGCCTCTGACCAGGCAAACAGCCAATCAAACTTCAGGATTTTGGTGCGGCACCTGGGAGGCCAATCAGATTTATTGGGGGCGGTGCCTTGCCACCTCTCTGGATCTGGTCCTAAGTTTTTATTTTAAAAAAGTATGATTCCCTCTGGGATAAATAAAGTAAATTCTGATAAATTTTATATTTCCTCAACAAGGTTTTTCAATCAGCTCGTTGTTTTAAATATGTCCAAACAGACATGTTGTGAATCACTATCTTATCTGTGGTTATTTAAATTATTTCAAATGTACATTCTGCAAGTTTCATTCTATAAATCTGTCTTCCAGACTCTTACCTACATCTTCGGTGACATGCTGAACTCAGTGGGGTCTGCAGGGAAAGTATTTGAATACCTGGACAGGAAACCACAGGTCAGCACAGAGGGAACACTGAAACCTGACCAGCTGAGAGGACACGTCAGCTTCCACTGTCTCAACTTCTCCTATCCGGCTTCCCCCAACAAAAAAGTTCTGCAGGTGAGGTTTGAACGACTTGACTTAATTGACTTGAATAAATAAAAACATCAAAGATAGTTATCTACACCGCTCTGTCTTCATGAGTCCGCTGGATAAAAGTTCATTTTTGCAGCGTTGTTAAACTTGTTGTCTCTTTGGCTCAGGACTTCTCTTTGGAGCTGAAGGCAGGTCAGATGACAGCACTGGCGGGTCAATCTGGACAGGGAAAAAGCACCTGTGTGAGTCTGCTGGAGCGGTTCTATGACCCACAGGATGGAGAAATCCTATTGGACAATGAACCTCTGAAATCATATGATCACCGCTTCCTCCATAAGAAGGTATTTAAGCATTGTGCCTTTTTTCTGGTGATGAACTCTTAATCTGTCTCAGATCACTTCTGTCTTTTAAATGTCCTTTAACTGTTCTGTATTTATTAGTAAAACATCAACATTAAACAATCTCAATGAACAAAATCTATAGGGAAAAATAAATATTGAAACATATTTGGATTAGAATGCAGTTGAAAAATGAATGTTTATAATGGATTAAAATGTTTATTGCAGCAGTGAAACATAGTTTGAGTTTGGGGTCTAGGCTCCGACCTCAGAACTCTTTGCAGATTATTTTACATGCAGAAATATGAGGAGTGATAAGATACATCCTTATACATTCTTTTACATGTATGACATCTGTTTTAACAGATTGCTGTGGTGAGCCAGGAGCCTGTGCTCTTCTCTGGCTCCATCAGAGACAACATCGCCTACGGGCTTGCAGACTGCTCATTGGAGGAGATCCAGGAAGCAGCTCGCAAAGCCAACGCCCATGACTTCATAAAACTGTTGGAGAAAGGCTACGATGCAGGTGAACTTTAGTACTGTTTTACATGGACAGGTGCCGACATAAAAACCTACTCAGCATGTTTGAGGTTTTTTGAATGAAGGAAGAACACTTTACTTATATTATTGTGTTTTGAACATGTATATTGATTGTCTGGAATTATACTGGCTAAATAAAGATGCGTAACACTTAAGAGGGCTAAGGTTGAGCCCTATTATTAGATTTTAAAAATCTTCATATTTTCTTCATCTTGCAGCTTTTTTCATTTACACATTAAACTAAAATCAAATTGTTCCAATGTTCTTTCTTTCTCAGAGGTGGGTGAGGGTGGCGGCCAGTTATCCAAGAGCCAGAAGCAGCAGATTGCCATCGCTCGAGCTTTGGTCAGGCAGCCACAGGTCCTCATTCTGGATGAAATAACCAGCTCACTGGACGCGCAGAGTGAAAATAAGGTAACTTCTCTACAGTGTGGTGTAAAGATGTGCCCTTAAGGATAGAAAGTCTCTGACACAGGTTTAATACCATAAGGTCGTAGAATACTTCCTGTTCTTAGAGTTGATGTATCTACAAATGTTGACGTGTCCCCAAAAGTAGGTGAAGAAAACTGAATATTTAGATGAGGTGCTGCATGTAGAAAACACTCACATATAATGTCTCAGTTAACCAATTTGCCCCTACAAAGAAAAACTCTGTAGAGAAAATTACATTTTTTTGCGTTTCAAAGATAGACATGATGTCTTAATGGCTGCAACCATTTTTTTATTTTATTAATATTTCTTTAAACTCCCCAAAGTCAAACAACAGTGAGACATCAGCCCGTTACAGATTACAATACAGCGCTGAGAGAAAGTTCCTCTGTCATTACACCCTCATACTTACACATAGCATCTACAATATGTCTCAGTGTGTGAGTTCACATTGCATTGTGGCGTTGGGGAAGCCTGAGAGGCAGATGGGAGAAGATGGGATGGGTCACTAACGATCTTCTTAGCTTGTCTTAGATTAGCCTGTTCAAAAAGTAGTCTGCGGGGATGTGTGATGTTTCCCTCCTATAATTAGCCATGCAGTCTGAATCAATTGGGTGCATTTGGTTTTGAACTGCACGGACATGTTGTCAAAGATGAGATATACTATCTGTGATTTTCTGCTTACTGCACAGGTTCAGCAGGCCTTGGCTAACTGTCCCAACCTGACCCTGCTGGTGATCGCTCACAGGCTGAACACCATTGAGAAGGCAGATCAGATCATTTGGATTGGTGAGGGCAGAGTTCAGGAGCGAGGGACTCACCAGGAGCTGATGGACAAGAAGGGGAGCTACTACAAACAGAGAGAGAAGCTCTTCACTGAGGGAAACTCTGCACAATGACACCTGAGGCTGTAGCTCCATGTACACTGTGTTAGTCTGCAGCTAACCTGATCAAATAATGTGATAGAACAAGCTGCAACTCATGTAAATATTTTGATATTAAACTTAAACAATGTGGACTTGTGTATATATATAATTTTTCTTGTATGTCTAGAATTCAAAACACGCAGCCCTTTAAATCTCCTCTTTATGTATATAACTGCTTATTTATTTTGTTTGCTGTTAGAATGTTTATTACCTTACTTTATTAATTAATAATTAATAATTTTGGCTTGACATATCTATCAACTGCCTCCTTTTTCATTTCATGTCCTGTATTTGGTTTAGGGATTATTAAAGTTTGGCACAGTTCTGGACATATGACGTCCATAAACCTTCATTTGCAATCAGAGTGGCCAAAGGTTGCTTTATCAGTATGTCCCAAATAAAACCTGTATGTGTCTTAATGGATTGTCAAGCCTGATGTTGCATATATATTTATTTCTCTAAACACATTCTTAGTCTGTTCAAATTATACAAATGCAAGGTGCAGTAAACGAGAAGAGAAGCGTGAAGTTGAAAGTGTTTGGTCTGAACAGGATTTTAGAAACGCTCTAGCAAGGAAGAAGTTATTTGGAAAGCTGCCTGCTGATGTGCGTCATAAAAACAGAAGGTACAGGGAAGTGATTTGTTTGAAGCATTATGTCGAAAACACCAACTCCCTCTATCGACCGAGATGATGCTCAGCTTAGCTGTCACCATTTTGTCCACACCTCTGTGCATCCACAAAATGGTGACTGAAGTCAAGTTTACATTTCCCAACATTTGAAGTTTTAATGGGAAGCTGCACAATTCATCTTTTAGTGTACAGCAAAACAGATGTTTGTGTAATGATTTATACATCAAACATGTTAAACTTTAGATTATTTTTAAAGGCAAGAACCCGGACTACTGGCTAGCTGAGAACAAAATGCAAATGAGGTCATGAGGAGGGGGGCTGGTTTGTATTCAGGGAGGAGATGAACACACGGGGGAAGGTGCGAGGATCAGGTGGTTTTGGTTGGTGTGTTGGAAACACTCTGAGGACAACTACAGGGCAGGTGAGGTACTGAAGGTTTCAACGACAGAAAACAAACTTGCAAGGCTTTCGATGTGAGAATGAGCTTTTATTGGTCAGGTATGATAACACATACAAGAAATCTGACTTTGACAAACTATGCTCTGTATGTACAAAAGTACAACATTAAATATCAAACAATAAACAGACAAAAATGATCATGTCCTTGACAGTAGGGCAGTGGTGAGTAGTGCAAAAGATGCTGAAATTAACATGGTGATATATGGTGTAGTTATGTAACAGATGGGTTCATTTACAAGAGGAAGATAGTTTCAGAGTATTTACATGAAAGCTGTGTGTGGAGAGTGATGTCAGATGTGGAGGATCAAAATATGTACATGATTAAGTGACCATAAAATGTGGATAAAAAAAACTGTACAAATGTCTGCTTTTTAAAATATAAATATAAAGGTCTTTATATTCACATTGTTCTTAAAAACCTGACGGCTCAGAGAGACAGGCTTCATCAGACGCAGTGACCCATCAGATCAGTTGACTCGGCTGCGTCCCATCAGTTAATGTGTGCCACCTGCAGTTCACAAAGGCTGCAGGGCACAAAGTTGAAAAGCTAATTGCCAAAAAGTGCCGGCCATCTTAGGTGGAGTCTTACAGAAACCAGGACACAAAATGGCCGGCTGCACGTGTTAGATAAAAGAAACTATGGGGCGTTATGGTGAAATATAGTGTCACATAATGATGGCTGTATCAGAGAATGTGGTGTTTATACATCTGTCATGTGCGTCCTCTCACGTCAGTCTGCACCTTTAAACACTCTTTATGTGTCTTTATGGATGGGTGGATGTGCCGTGAAGCTTTTGCCTAACCAGTTCTGCACCATACCACTCTGCATCACCACGCAGCCGAGCTGGAAAGTCCCGTCTCTTCTTTCTTTCGCTTTCTCTCTTTATTGTGTTGCGTGCTTGGTGGCTGCCTGACTCAGCCAAAACACGGCCAAACCCAAGAGTTACTGAAAGCATTCTGCATACTTTTACATTTTCAGCTTCTGTTGTTGTTGTTGTTTTTTTTTTAAGATTTGAAGCAATGTGATGGTAAAACTGGACCCTATGGATGTTTCTTTGTATGTTCTTAATCCACGTTTGAGATTTTTGAGTGTTAATCTCATTCAGACTAACTTTGGTTATGATTTATCGGCCCTGATCAATGACACACACAAGTATGAGTCACTGATCAAGATGACCAGAGCCCATTGTGCCCCTCCACCACAGCCTTAGTGAACCCAGTGATATTACTATTATCATACCTCCACGACACAAATGACCCGTCACAGCTTTAAAATAAGGTCATCACAACTCTCCACCTTTGATACTTTTTAATACCACACATTTTAAAAGAAGACAAACTCTTTTATTTTGGTGATCAACACAAGCGAAAAGTGCTGAAGCTTTAAAAAAAACATCTTTTTCATAAGAAGGGTTAAACTCCTGCACACTGTATAATTGCACAAATACATTGGCAACACATTAGAGACAGTGCTCAGAGGAACTAAACTACACGTCAAAAGTGAGTTAAATCAGCAAGAAAAGTGTAACTTCAAAAAGAGTCTCTGTAATGTGATCCTCGCTTCTCTTCTCCTCTTTAATATAAAAGTAATACAGGAACTCACGCAGGATAAAGCATCACAGACATGACTCCCTTCTTTTCCACACCTCATCTAGTTTTGTTTGACAGATGTTTTAAAAAAAAGTGGGTTTTAATGGAATAGCATCAAATAGTAAAGAAGTGACATAGGGAATAACATTCCTCATCAAAATCATATGCAATAATTGAGCTATGAGAATAAAGTGATTTTGGATGCATCACATTCTAATCTTGAAATAAGCTGTGTAGTCACAGTTAGCTGAGCCAGGCCCTGCCTCTGTGTTGTTTTATAACAGGGTCATCCCCCTCTGTGTTTTTGTGAATCCCCTAACTTCCCTGGGGAGTGTGGCAACTGCAGCATTTACTGCCGCACACGTTTGTCAGGTTGTTCTGAGACTAGAGCAGCTCATTCAAACACACCCAATCAAACAGTGATCTGCAGCTATGTTTCGGAAAGTCCCGGCTGATGACCAAAGGGTAACACTAAAAGCTGATCTGAAGTCTGTTTTTGACGTCGGAGCACAAGACTGGGCGGGTAGAAACTGATCCTCTGTCAGCTGAAAACAACTTTACAGCCCTTATCTTTCGGCAGTGTAACAGCGCCTCAGTTGGTTGTGTTTGCCAAATTTACCAACAATCATGTGATTTCTGGGAAACCGAGAGCTCAGCAGACAGGCAGACAGGAGGCTCTCCAAAGTCATGAAGCTACAATCATTACCTTTGACTGCCATCTAGTGGGATTAAGAAAACAGGAATTTCAACACACCAAACAGCAAAGCTTCATAAGGGTTAAGGCTTTTTAATGTAAGAACATTTTCAGCTTTTTGAACAGTGATGTTGTTTTGTTGGAGCTCCTGTGTGCATGCAGATCTACAAGAAACAAAAGGCAGCATCTGAAGCAGAATGGCTGCATGAATATTGACTTAAATCCTCTTTAAAAATCTGTTGTGTGTTTGATTGGAGATTACACCAGTCACAGAAGTAAAGTCAAGAAACTACCATTAAAAATAAATAAAATCTCCTCTTTAATATAAAAGTAATACAGGAACTCACGCAGGATAAAGCATCACAGACATGACTCCCTTCTTTTCCACACCTCATCTAGTTTTGTTTGACAGATGTTATAAAAAAAATTGGTTTTAATGGAATAGCATCAAATAGTAAAGAAGTGACATAGGGAATAACATTCCTCATCAAAATCATATGCAATAATTGAGCTATGAGAATAAAGTGATTTTGGATGCATCACATTCTAATCTTGAAATAAGCTGTGTAGTCACAGTTAGCTGAGCCAGGCCCTGCCTCTGTGTTGTTTTATAACAGGGTCATCCCCCTCTGTGTTTTTGAACAGTGATGTTGTTTTGTTGGAGCTCGTGTGTGCATGCAGATCTACAAGAAACAAAAGGCAGCATCTGAAGCAGAATGGCTGCATGAATATTGACTTAAATCCTCTTTAAAAATCTGTTGTGTGTTTGATTGGAGATTACACCAGTCACAGAAGTAAAGTCAAGAAACTACCATTAAAACATGGCAGTTTGGGGGGATTGAGGCAGCTGAATTTCAGTGGCAGGACAGTTTCTCTCTTAACCAAACTATCAAAATGTAATATGAATAGAAACTTATCATCGAGGGGCTATAGTGCAGATTCCCTCAGCATGACGTGAGGCTGTGACATCATGTACTTAAAACAGAGCTGTGATAGAGAGCATTAGTGACAGTAACCTTTACCACGCAGCCTAACAGACCTGATTTCCTGTAACTCCTCTGTCTGGATAAATGGCAACTGAAAGCAGGCTGCCATAACTACTGACAGATACAAATGAAGGATCGTTAGTGCCCCCAAGTGGTTAAACAAAAACACATTTTGGTAAAACCTGGACACACATCTGTAAGTAAATAAAGTTATAAAAATAAACATAAAAGCAAGGGAACATGGTAAATACCTGAATTTAATAAATACAACAGATTTTATTTTCCGGCTCTGCTTTTATACTTGTTCTCTCTGTAATGCAGGATTATGATATCTTTTAGAGGAGTGGTTCTCAAATGGTGGGTCGGGACCCAAAAGTGGGTCGTGGACCCCTTTTTTTAGTGGGTCGTGAATGTGGAAAAAAATCTATGATGCATTTCTAAAACATGTTTTCCATGTCTCTTCTCTTTGTTCTGTCACACTTTGATCCTCCTGAAGTTCAAACTGAACTTTTCTTTAATTAATAAGGGGTGGCTGTGGCTCAGTGGGTAGAGTCGTTGCCTCTCAACCAGAAGGTCGAGGGCTTGATTCCCAGCTGTCCTTGGGAAAGACACTTAACCCTGCATTACTCCCGCTGCTTCAGTTGCGGTGTGTGAATGGATTAGTGTTGTACTTACTCTCTGATGAATTGTAACATTGTAATAAATCTCAGTGGCTGAAAAATGATTTGGGTCTCGATTTCTCATTAAGGATGTTGTGGTTGTTCCTGAGACTAGACCAGTTGAGAACCACAGTTTTAGAGAGTTTGATTATCATATTTATATGCTAATTGTACATCAATATAACTGTTATTGATTGGTAAGCTCTAGTTTTGGCTGATGTTTAATGTTGATGCTTTTAGTTTTGTTGTGATTGTTTGACCTGTCGTCATGGAGCTTGTCAGCCTATTGTTGGTGTACAAATCCACATATATGCTTGTGAACCCAAATTTAAAACAAAATCACCTGAAGAAGAGTTAGGCCGTGTTCACACTTGACTTCTTTTTTCAACTGCCAGAGCCT